TTATCAGAAAATGTTCCTCTGCATCTGGGTACATGCTTGTAGGATCTTTTAATACAAGACTTAGATAAAAAAGGTACCAACTAAAGACCATGTTCTCTAGTACCTGGCCAGCAAAAGAGACTTACTTTGCTTTTCATGGCCCAAAACACCCACTTCAAGCTCTATCCAGTATTGGTAAAGCCTTTCCAATTACCTTGTTACTGTACCTGAATGTAACTGGGAATGTGCCCAGTTCACAGATGCAGCTTTTGCTGTAATACCGTGAATGTGTGTGCTTGGCAGGATTACATCACATGCATTATCTTGGCACTCAGGCAGCAGCAGCTCCATCAACTGAGCTGAAGGCCAAGCCATCAACAGTTGTGCTGAATGTAGTTGTCTGCACATTTTTACAAAGGCTTTCCCATTTATTATGTTTGCTTTAATTTACTGCCCTTATCTTAGTGCTGTACCAACATCCCTATGCAATGTTTGTATACCCAGTAAATTGTGAGAAAACATGCAGTAATAGGCAACAAACTCTTGTCATGATCGCTTTGCAAACATGATGCTCAAATTTTTTCAATCCTGATGGAGTAAAATAGACCATGCATAATTAAGCCTGAAAACTGTCAGGCGCATGTGTCTTGGAACCACAAATCTGCTTGCTTCTGAACAATGGGCCTTTCCACGTGAGATCAGTTGCTACGGCACAACCCTAAGCTTTTTCTAACCTTCTCAAATAGTATTCTCAGCCATTTTCAGTTCTCCTCCCCACATTTAACCTTTTAGCCCCAAACTAGCCTACATTAGTTTCAGAGATGACAACAAAAATGAACCATATGTGCCACCTTGTGAAATCCGTGCATCTGGCTCTATTTGACAGAACTGCCATTCTGGTGTTGTCCCTTCTTATTCACTATGTGACATCTGCCCCTTCCTTTCCTCCTCTATTCATCCTCTTTGCACAAAAAAAAAAAAAAAAAAAAAAAAAAAAAAAAAGAGATGTAAAATAAACATATCAGGCAAAACATGAAACAGAGCAGAAGTAAATATTTGAAGTAACTCTGTATCAACTAGAGCAAAAGATTTATTTTAAAAAATAGCTGCTAGCATAATTAAGGTCTGCAAGAAACAGCACTTACTAGGCTTTATTAAAATTAAAGGATTAACACCGGGGTGGAGTGTGTGAATTACAAAACTGATATGTTAGTTGTAGCAGTACTTTTTTTTTTTATCTTGAGGATGAATCCCAATATGCCAGATATTAGAGACCCGCATTTAGCTTACATAAAATGGGATAGACAGTAGCTGAGCTGGGTCTTTGAGGAGCTGTGAGGACAAGTTCACCTTGCCCATTGTTTAGAGGAAGAAAGGCTTTCTGGAGGCCATGCCTCTGAACCGCGCGTTGAACAAGTTGCTTTCCACACCCATCAACCTCTCAAAAGCTTCAGTAGCCCAGATGTATGAAAAACTTGTCCCCACATCTTCAGAGCCACATCTAGCTTCAAACACAAGGCAACAGTAGAAGAAATCCATTGAATGTCAGCAAAATAATGACCAGAGACAGTAAGAGGAGAAACACGACAGCATCCTTGCAGATTTAGAGGCAGAACAAGGAATTTACATTAACATCTCCCTCTCTTCCCTGCCCTCACAACCACCCCAGAGGTAAATCACGCAGCCATGTACACTCCTGCACAGTGGCTTTAATACGCTGAGTGATTAAAGGTGACGATGATGACTACAGGCCATACTATGTATCTTTAGAGGCTTTTCAATTGAACACTGAGGGGCCAAATGGGGCTACCGTGTATCTAAAATATTTTACTCTGATTAAAGGTGTAATTATAGAGTTAGTCATAATAGCTGCCATACTTTAAAAGAAACCCACCTCTCCTTCAGGGGAAGGGGAGGAAATTATGCTACTTTATTCATCCAAACACACTCTCAGTTAAATTCAAATACAACATGTGGACTAGATAAATACAGTGACACACAGCCACAAACACTTAGTAATCCAAGATAGGACAAGGAGATGAATCTTCTAACCTATAATCTTCGCAAAGGGAAACTAAATCTTATGATTAAGAGTTCTGTCATATCTGTGCAGGTATCAGTGGAGGCTGTGTGTTTTCTTCTCAACTGTCATAAGAAATTCATGCTGGTTTTAAGGCCTAAATATGAGCAAGCACTGCAAATGTGGGGTGTGACACAGAGCTTAAGAGATTTACTTGTTTATACAGTTAGCGCATAACTTCTATGGATATCCACATATATATTGCACAGAAGGGTAGGCTGGCGCTAAGAATCTTATTCAGCACAAACAAACCAGAAATCTTTTCCTTCTCTTCCCAGTGTATTTTCAAGCCTGCAGCAGATTTGCTGAAGGTAACCATAATGGAGCAAATCATCACTCCAGGTCCACAGGAATAATGATTTTTGTCTAGGAGGGATTTCCTTGGCTTACGCCACCTTTCACAGAAAAAGAGTTGATCTCAAATAGCCACTACTGTTGACATATAAGAAAAGATGAGGGAAAGGAATTCCTGTTTATAGCTATAACATTTAAACTAATGCTTCTGGTTACGCAGGAGAGAGGGTGAAAAAGAAAACCCACAATAGACCAGCTTTAGTTTTTCACCAGTTTCACTGGGGTTTTACTGACATTCAAAGTCCACGTTTAACACCACTGAAGCCATTTAGAGAACCTTCCCCAGCAAGCACTGCCTGGAGATCCTTCAGGAGGTTCAGTTTCCTGAGGAGACAAACTCGGACACAACACAGACCTAGTTCACTTGAACCTGAAGGAGAGGAGGCAGGGTCTACACAGTGCTTTGATCCACAGCAGTCCCAGCCCCCAAATCAAATGACAGAGCCAGGTTGGATAAAGGACACATCACATTTCAAGGGAAAAAGAAAGGGGAAGGGCAGGAGATGCAGGAGAAGAAATCATCACCCTTGCCAATAAGGTTTCCAGTTATCCACATGGACACTTGTACACTCTCTGGAAACTCTACTTCTGGAATAAAATATTCAGAGCATTTGGTGTGCATTCAACAGCTCTGAACAAATCTATTGAGCTTTACTGCTTAATCTTTTTCCACTCCCCCTTTTATTTTTTCGGCATTGGTATTAGAATTTTGAAAAATTCTGTAGTTCAACAACTGAAAATACATTCCCCATACTAATCACTTGACAAGGGAGAATGCTGACCAGGACCCAGCCGAGGCACCACATACCACATAATTTGTTAGATAACAGAAGTATAAATCATCTTTATACGTGCACAGTTTTTAATCACCATCCTTTGCCCAACATAGCTCAGTGGTCAAGTCCCAAGAACAATTTTATGGGTCCTGTCATCTCCATTTTTTTTTTTTTAAGCATTCTCTCAAGTGATCCTGTAGTTCCATTGCTGCAGCTCCCTTGAGCTAGATTTCCATATCTTTTACATTGCTATCTGTATTCTTTAACTTTTTACACACTTGATAATAGAGGGAAGAAAACATCATTGAAAATACACAAGAAAATTTTATCTTGCATCAACAGAAATATACAAGACTAACTAAAAATACAGATCAAGATATGCCAGAAAGCAATAAAGTTACAAAACACTACGTACAATAGTTTTATGGGAAAGAAGGATGGGAAAAAATTCTTTTCCAGATTTCACACCATTTCCTTCCCCCCCACACACCCAATTTGGGTGAGGTAGGAAGCAAGAGAGGTTTTTTTTGTTTCTTTTAATTTTGCCCTGAAACATACTTCAAGTAATTGCAAGTGAGTGACACCTAGTGATGAACACAAATCTGATCATCCTCTGCTCTCCCACACAGAGAAGATAAGCCAGCAAGCACCAACAGGTAACTCAGGAGTGGGTGTCGAATCATGGGAACCTGACACTACTATGTTTCTCTCCCTTAAAAGCCAAACATCAAGTGAGCCAAGACCTAGAAACTTGGTGCACAACTAAAAAGAGGAAAAAACCCAAAACTAAAATGGCTAACTGTCCAAATAAGAGACGGCTAAAACAGATCTAAATCATGACCTGTAAATTCACTTCTCCATTCTTGTTAAAACTAATTCGTTTAAACCTCTCTCTAGAAATATCAAGTTTCCCAGAGATCTCATTCTTAATTAAAAAAAATATATGTCAGAATCAAATGGGAAGAATGGGTTTCTCATCAAATACTAAAATATCAACAGTTGTCTTAGAGACTACTTAGTGATGTCTCTGGCATTATAACTGCTATCCTGTTGTAAGGATTTTATGAGCTTGTCAAAGACTCTTATTTTGCCAGTAGTTCCAAAATTATTGCTCACAGAGCAGTTACTGGAAGTGAAGGGGAGGGGAGGGGATCTAGTGTGATTTGTGGTAGGGTTACAGGAAGGAAAAGTATGCTACTATGCAAAGTAGCAACAACACAGTCCCCTGAAAGGGAAGCTGGAATAAAGAGACCAAGAAAACTGGTCTGACTTTTCAACACCGTGACATGGGACAGTCCTGCACACAGGAAGCTCACCCTGAGGAAGACATTTCTTTACTTAATGCATTTTTAAGAGCAGTCCAAAGCTCCAGGGCTAAGAGAGCAAAACACAAAATCCTGTAGGAAAGGGAAGTGATTAACCTAGAACAGCCATTGCCGCTTTCACACACTATGTGCCACTTCATCTATTTTTGTCACTGGAACCTCAGGAATAGCTCCTGCTTTAAAGACACAAAGTATAAACAGTGTTTAAAAGCCATCACAAGGATAGGAGTCAAAAAAAAAAAAAAAAATCAGTGGGCAGAGAAAGGAAAACACTTAAAACACACACCACAACTTGTGGACCTTGTTCTGCTCAGTAAACCCCTGGCCATCTCCTTTTCTCTCCTCACAGATTAATGTGAGGTCAGGCTGGGTTTTTTTTTTTTTTTTAATCCTTCCACAAACATTAAAGAAAATTCAAAAGCCTGTAAAATTTAAAGCCCTGCAATCACAAGCTCTTCGGAAAACTAACGCAACAGAGCCACCTACCATGCAAAGGCAGGACTGACAGGGCTCAGGCAGCAAGAGCCACCACCGAAACTTATTTGAATGAACTTGACCCAGGTTGGCAGCCGGCCAGCACCCTACGTCACCCCGTGACTTAACAGAACACAGTGTTCTTGGCACCTGCACAAAAATGTGTTGAAATCCACGCTGGAGAGAGAGAGAAAAAAGAAAAAGTCAGTGTATGTTTCAAATTAATAAAGGAAAATCGTAATGAAAAGGTAATAAAACGCAAAGGCAGTATGAGATATTTTTAAATGCAGCCGCTGCGTTTTTTTCCCCAATTTATTCCTATCGTTTGGTGTTCCCTTGTGTACCAGAAGCTCGGCACAGTGGCGGTTCTCCCCAGGACGAGCCCTTCCCTGTCCAAATCCCATCCCACGCGCTCTCCCTCTCACCTCTCCCTGTGCCCTACCTGGAAAATTCCAGTGCAGCGCTCAGCCAGGCAGCGAGGGCAGACACCGCTGCTGTGCCAGGGCTGCCCCTGACTCACTTCCTCGCCCAGCCCTTGCGCAGAGGCAACACGGCAGGCACCTCATGCAACACTTCCATAGGGGATGATCGGTTTTAGTTATGTCATTCACAAATGGATTATGCTAATGCTCTGTCATGAGATGAAAAGCAAATGAGTAGAAGAAGGACACGAAAAATGAACTTAGTGAGCCATGAACTTGATGTACTTCCTTCATATACCATAGACACACACAAGTCTATGGGACCGGATGGGATCCACCCAAGAGTACTGAGGGAGCTGGCAGAAGTGCTCACCAAGCCCCTTTCCATCATTTATCAGCAGCCCTGGCTAACTGGGCATATGCAGGACAACCAGAGGATCAGTCCCAGCCAGCATGGGTTCATGAAAGGCAGGTCCTGCCTGGTCAACCTGATCTCCTTCTATGACCAGGTGACCCACCTAGTGGATGAGGGAAAGGCTGTGGATATTGTCTCCCTAGACTTTAGTAAAGCCTTTGACAACTTTTCCCACAGCATTCTCCTAGAGAAGCTGGCAGCTCATTGCTTGGACGGGCACACTCTTTGCTGGGTAAAAAACTGGCTGGATGGCCAGGCCCAAAGAGTTGTGGTGAATGGAGTTAAAGTCAGTTGGTGGCCGGTCACAAGCCGTGTTTCCTGGGGCTCAGTATTGGGACCAGTTCTGTTTAGTATCTTCATCAATGATCTGGATGAGGGAATCGAGCGTACCTTCAGTAAGTTTGCAGATGACACCAAGTTGGGTGGAAGTGTCGATCTGCTCGAAGGGAAGAGAGCTCTGCAGAGGGATCTGGGCAGGCTGGATTGATGGGCCAAGGCCAGTTGTATGAGGTTCAACAAGGCCAAGTGCTGGGTCCTGCACTTGGGTCACAACAACCCCATGCA